AAATTGAAGAACAATTTCAGAGAATAATAATTTGGAAATCTCTGAGATTAATTCTAGACGATTTAAATCCAGATATCATAACCAACAAAAGATTGTTGGTAAAGGTGGCTATACTACTATTCCTTCTATGTTGACTTATTATTATCCCCGTCCAACTCCTCAAGATGTTCGGATAGAAAAGAGAAATTGGATTCAGACTAACACTTCATATAGTGGAAATGAGGTCTATGAATGGAATTTGGATGGCTTAACAGAATGGTAGGTTTTAATTCGGTACATCGGATGTTGATGTATTCGTCTATTTGTAGGCATACGAATAATAATTCTGATCATGCTACCAGTAAGATGATTATTGCAGGATTTATAGGACAGCTTCGTGGATGGTGGGATAATTTCCTATCTCCTGAAGAGAAGTATGCTATTACTAATGCCTCCAAAGAGGAAATAAAAAGAGAAATAGTCGTTGGTGAAGATTGTAAACCAACAGAAAAGGTGACTAAACAAAATATTGAAGATGCGGTTTATACCCTTGTCCTCACAATTCTAGAACATTTCAATGGAAGTTTTTCCAACCAAAATGAAACTATTTGTACCCTTCTAAATGGTCTTAAGTGTAGACATTTAGGAGAATTTAGATGGTATAAGGATACTTTCCTAAGTAGAGTTATGGATTTACCAGAAAGTAAAATAAGTTATTGAAGGCAAGATTCATAGTTGGACTTCCTCCGTTATTTGCTGAAAGGGTTAAGAAGACCCTAAGAGGAGACCTCTCTGAGATTCCCTATGATAACTACACCTATGGAAAGTTGATAGGCACTTGCACACAAGAAGGACTAAATCTGTGCAATGAATTAAAACTTGCGCAGCAGATCAAAAGGAACCAGATGTCAGAAAAATCCCAATTAGGAGATTTTTGCACGCAATTTGCATTGAAGGACCTTCCCGTGATAAGAAAAAGAAGAATTATGACGAGAATGATCCGAAGAAATTCCACAAAAGATGTCATCATTCAAAAAGATACAAAAAAAAGCATGAAGTTAAGAAAGCTCATCGCAAGGCTACCAGATTTGCCAAAAACTTCTCTAAGAGAGAATTGAAGAATATTGTTATAAGTGTGGAAAGTATGGACATATTGCTCCAAGTTGTAAGTGGGAAAAACTTAAGCTTTAGAGCTAGATGAAGCCACTCATGATAAAGTTTATAAGTTACTATACGATTCAGAATCTTTCTCAATTCTGTCTCCTCCTCCGTCATCAACCATTCACCGCAGAGCTCGCCGATCTCCTTGAAGGTCTCGTTCGTCCATAAATGCATAGGCAGACCCATAACCCTAATCCAACTGGATTTGGGTTTGTATGTAGTTGGTTCACAGCCTACAGATGGGTTCCACCACTCTAATTTTATTTTGTTTCTCTTCCACATCCATTCACAGCCTACATATGGGTTCCACCACTCTAATTTTATTTTGTTTCTCTTCCACATCCATTCTCCCTGAAGGATTTGTTCCACCATATATCTGTTGGGGAACTCGAAGAGAAAGTGTCCACCCATCATGTCATATATATTGACTCCAAAAGCCTTCTTCCACACTGTTGTAGACCGTTGTCTAACATCAGATAAGGTAGGCCTTTCTGCATTGTTTTTCTCAAAGAATCCGACAATGCACCTTCCCAGCAGACCTTGTTCTCTGCTTTTGACAATTACCTCGGATTCAGTCTTTTTGTCCTTAACTGTGGGTGCCTCATATTTGCTACTCTGCCATTTACTGCCCTCAACCACCTTTGCAAAAGAGACATTTATGTCACATTTTTCAGACTTGATCTTCAACTCCTTCTGTGGTATGCATTTAATAAAAATCTTCTTATCTTAAATGCCACACTCCTCCACCCAGCATTAATGTCTAATTCAGGTACTATGATAACTGATCTGTCTTCTCCCTTTAATGACAGAATGCTCATGTACCTCCCATGAGCATTATATTTCCTAGTACCAAAAAACTCTGTTGCCTGGTCCTTGTATCGCCATCTTCTCACTAAATTTTTCTGGTCGGATGAGGCTTCACTGAGAATGAAGCATATCCATTCCATCACCTTCGCACTTAAGTGTAATCCTACTCATTTTCTTTCTGCTCCTACCCAGTCATACCGGAAAAAATGATTGGAAGTCCATCTGGTAATGTCGTAAGATTTGAAGCCTTGATGGAAGTATAGTCTTATCCCCCATGGTATAGAAGGGTATAAGAGGAAAGAAAAGAGGTTTTGAGAAACTTCATTTTCCTTTTAATGATGATTAAAGATCAACGATTGATTATTTCCTGAATAATTCATTCATTACAGGTTCTTGAATTATGTGATAATTACAAATAAGCAAATTCATGTTGGAATATTGCTAATATTTTTTTAAGAACCTATTTTTTCTTTTTTTTAATGTATGGATATTAGTAAAGGATTATTTGCAAGTTCAATGCAATTATTATTTATGACCGCGCGAAGCGCGGGAAAATTATCTCTATATATATATATATATATATATATATGATTTATGATTTGACATAACTTTAATTTAGAACCACAAGATTAAAAAGTTATTTTTTCTTTTCTTAAACTCCGCTCAAGTCAAACTAGGTTATCCTTTTTAAAATGGATGGAATACTAAAGAATGTGTTTGAGTTATAAAATAATAATTAAAGGAAAAAATTTAAGTTTCTGAGAAAAATGAATGATGATCCTATTTAGCAACAATTGTTTTTAGTTGCCTATCAAAAGAAAGAAGGGAAACTAACTTAAATAACTGCCTAACAAAATATTAGCCAACAGATGTATAAGATATGTATAAATAGTAGTATAATATATGTATATAGGCTAGTGGCTGTACAAATTTTAGACGAGCAGCCAAATGTGTAACTTCCCCCAAAAAAAAGAATGTGATTTTTTTAGATAGACTTTAATGCACTAGGATAATTTTTTGAGTTTGAGATATATTTTTTACTAGACGGTATCCTTGTGAAGATTCTAGAATATACATGGTAGGTAACTTAATTTACTCCTATTCTCTTATTTTCTCTTCCACCTCACATGGTATTAGAGCCTGATTAACGTCAGTAACACATAGGAAGGATAAAATTATGTTGTCGTGCCAGCTTCTGACGACTTTCACGACTGTCTGACATAAACCTGTGTTTCTATTGGTGTTGTGATTAAACCAACACCACAATGGAACCAGGAAACCTCCACGACCAAAACTCAGCCAGATCTGTTCCAACCACTTCAGGGAGAGTTTCTTTTCTCAGATAGACTTGCCCCTGATTCTGAAACCACCTATACAGGTTCCACTAGATTCCGATCACTTTCCAATGAGGCAGTGGACTTTCGGCAAACTTCCTCATTGTTTCTGACGAGATCTGCTCTGTCCCAGACCTTCGATCATCATTTTCTCTGGTAGCTGTCTCTTACCCGTGATTTGAGGTTATTTCAACTAAGTTGAAAAAAATGTCCTTGGATTATATATTTTTGGTTCTAAAACCGTGATTTTGAACAATCGGACCATTCTATCACTACTGAAACCTTAATAGATAGTGCAAACTACTTGGTCATCTTCAATACAACTATGGTGTAAGGGGAAACATTTTCATGATTACTTAATTAAACAAGCTACAGATATTAATGAAAAGAATAGGGGAAAATGGAAGAAGATTGATACTCAATTATGTAGTCTATTCTGGAAAGCTATTGATTCGAAGTTGATGTCGTTGTTTCAATCATTCCAGACGTGCTTCTTAGTTTGGGAAAGGCTCGTGGACTATAACGCAAAAAATCTCCCACTTTTATTATATGATTAGTCGGCTGTCTAATCTCAAAAACCAGGATTTGGATATACGTACCTACTTTTGACAAGTTCAACTGTTCAAACGTTGTTAAGAGTAAAAAAGAACTGTTCAAAAGTTTATGGAAATGCGAACTCAAAAAGGAAATTTATGTTTGCCAATTCATAAATGCTCAGGCCATGACTTGTTTCCATGAGGTGTTTGCCCATCTTCTGACTTCTGATTGGATGGGAAACTCTGAGATATTATCTGGGAAAGCCCCAACCAAACATCTCTGTACAACTTCACTTTGGGAGCTTGACCCCTCATCAATGCATATACTCCTCCCTTCATAAATACGGAGTCTTAAATGCCCTCATCACCTTCCCTACTCAACCACTTAAAGCTCCTGGCAGCTTCAGAGAATGGGAGGTTCTTGTCAACCAATCTTGACTCAGTCCTAGAAATGGGGATCCTGTTTCTTCAAAAAAACTTCTATCTTCTCAGCAATAAAGTTCCATCCTAAATTAATGTCAGTTCCAGTATATGATTACCATTGATCTTCTTCTCCCCCTTAAACTCACAATGCTGATACACCTGCCAAACTTGTTAAAATTCCTAGAGCAAAATGTTCCTGAGAAATTAACTCCTCTCTTCCATCTGCTGACAAAGTTACCATTCACTTTCGATGCTTCTCTCAGACTTAGAGAGATCCATTCCATAGTCATCTTGTTAAAAGTTGTTCTCCGGATAAAATTTCTACTCCTCTCAGTCTACTCATAAGTCATACCATATCTCTGTTGTGCCACAAGATTTTGTTATGTCAAAAGATTTGAAACCCACCGCAAAATAGATGCTGTTATCCATTGGAACCCTAGGAAAGTGGGTACCGGAAGAAGGGGAGAGATAGATAGAGAAGAAAACAGAGAGAAAAGCGAGAGAAGAGTTATACACAACACAGCCTATAATACTGAATAGGGTGTATAAATATTTTTACATTAACATTATGAATATTTAATTCTAATGGGTTATTAAGGTCATCAACTTTAGAGGGGTATTTTAATTTGGAGCTTCCCACATCTATATTAGTAAAGATAGATAGTATGAAATTCAAAATAGGTTCAACCACATGCCAGTATAAGAATAGTAAGAACAAAGAAGCATCAAATTAACAAAGTCGAACAAGTAAATACAATACCTAGGATATTCACGATGTAGACCTCGTCAAGCAAAAGCACCTTCATATCCATCCAAAATCTTGTCAATTGGTTCAAAATTCCGGGTGCACTTTTTGAACTGCAAAGGAGAGAGAAGAATAAGATGCATGACGAAGTTCTCTACTATATTACAGCGATCAGTGAATGCCAATTTCAATCATGCTTGCACCCATGATGGTAAATTTTGGCTGTCATAGACCATGTTTTTATGAAGGTTCCTTACTCATCCATGGAATCATTCCTTGTTTGGAATGAACCATCTTGACAAGGTGAAGCAACTGCATTAATGACAAGAGATTAAGATCAAACTATGGTGTGATTGATATAATCACAAGAAAGAACCTTGCAAGGAAAACAAATGAAAAGGAACAGAGATAACATCAAATTTATCCATCACAGTGCTGGGTTATCCCTCAGGTCATTTGGTTCAAAACTAGGTTATCCTAGGATTATAACCAGGATTATCTATCCCACCTTCTATGTGGAATTAGATGATCTCATTCCATTATCAATACCAGGATAAAATAATGATAAGAATCATTCAATGTACTCTAAAAAATCATTCAATCAATCAACGACACCCTATCTAATTAGTAAGGACAATAATGAATCTTTTATCAACATCATTATATTAATGCCTTCATTATAATACCAAATAATTTGTTAAAGGCGATGGATTTTCTAAAACTAGAAGTTCTTTAAATTTCAGTCATCCATTCGCGAACATAAAACGGCAACTAGTTGGTCAATCTTGACAAGCACCTGATGTAGTCTAAGTATAACGACAACTCTATTAATCTCAATTAGTTAGTAAACCTGTGTAGGTCTTTACATTATGTTCTGTCATTAGTACGTTGGCATTAAATTTGGGAGGTTGTAAGTCTTTTTAGACTACTTCCTTGAACAATCTAACAATAGATTTACCTTGTCCCCCAGCAATCCCATTATGCCTTGACATTGATGCTCATATGTACTGGTGAGTATCACCTTATGTCATGATACTGATGCTCCTACTTACTATTGCTGGACCATTTTGGTTAATAAAATCCAGCCCATGTGGCCATAATTTTTTTTTAAAAAAAATGATCCTACTAATTGGCGCATATGGACATCTACGTAGGACACAAACATTTTTTATCAAGCAAAATAAGGTATTTTTCATTAAACTGCATCCTGAAGATGCTTAGCAAAATAGTAGCTCCTGTACAATATTCCTGTAATAACGAACTGTAAATCAAGGAGCTAACAAATTTCATGAAATGACCAATACTATTTACATCATCAAGTTTATACACAAACAGAAGAGATTTTCTAAAAATCTAGACAGGACATGGTGGAAGCACCTCAAGAGACATTCTTTTATTTTACTTGGTATACATCTATGATCAACCTAACTTCTAGTATTATTTAGCAGTTAAGGTTTTATGTGTGCAAAACAAGAACTTCTCCCAACAAAATTACTATCTTTTGATAAACGATCTTCATATGTGATTTACTGAGTTCTTGGCAACGAATTTGCTTATAAAAGAAAAGAGCCAAAAATAACATTACTGTTCACAGATGAACATATTTGGGAGGATGTACCTCCCAAGCACATCATCCAGGTAAAGCAATCTTGTAAGTTAGGACAAGAATTGTGAACCCTGTTGAATTATATAGAGAAGGTGAAATGAACACATATGAGTGATACTTGGCATTACCTGCTTCTGTCTGCACAGAAGTCAATGGTCTTTTTGATCCGGTGTGCGAGAATCCTGTAGAAGCATATTTAGAAATGTCTGGAAAATGCATTGAACTGAATTATTAATATTATATCACCTTTCAATTGCAATGGCTTCATCACAAAACCTAAAATTGCAAAAGGAAGCATCAGCAATGCCTCTATCCCGAATGCCCAACGCCAATTAAGAAGACTTCCAACCTACCACAGAGTGGAGCTTTAGTAAGACTTCACATGCTCCACAAAAGATACTTCCCCCAAGAAAAGCTTAACTCATAGCAACTGAAGCAAGCTCACCAATCCACCATATACATAACCAACAGCAATCCCAGTTGGTATACACATGTAAAATATTCCTAGCCATGCTGTTTTCTGACATTGGAGGAGAATTAGCATGCGTCACATTACAGACATAATATGAGATGCAGAAACATTTGACAGTTGTACACAAGCAGCTATGAAGTTGAAGAAGCATGTAAAAGCTAGCGACCATCAAGAAAAAAAAGTTACATTTAACTGGATGTCTATGTTAACATGATAAACTAGGAAAGATACAAGAAGTTCAAATTGGAACAAGCGTTCATTTCCACTATGAAGCATTGTTGTTCATATCACAGCATCTACTACACAATTTTGAGGAATTCAACAAAATATGAAACCATACAGTTTAGAAAAGCAAAACAACAAAAAAAGGAAACAATGTGCATAAAGCCAGATTATGCTCAGTATCTGACAGAGATCTTCATGGACAATATTGAACAGAAGATCTACGTTAAATAGATCCACCAATTAAAAAGAAGTAATTGCCTCACAACTTGCTTTAACCAAGCCAACAAGAGAGTTCAATCAACCTAACCTACAGTACAACAACATACCTAGTGTAAATAAATGGAGAACCAACGCTAGAAGGAGGGTTTGAACCTCCGACCTTGTTGTTAACAGCCACATGCTCAAACCAACTGAATCTTACCTACAGTATATTACATATTTGTTTACAGGAATTGAGATTGAGGTCTTCATTACCAGGAGACATGGTAATCCACAGACTAGGTAACATTTAAGTAGAAACTCATGCGCAGGACTGGAAGCGTTATCCCAATGTTTCAGGGTTACAATTTTTAACAGACTGATACTCTCAGTTTTGCTCCAGCGCATAAATCATAAACCCATAGTTCTCAATGGCAATATGCAAAGAAGCCTTCTAAAGGGTAAAACTGTGCCCACTAATGGAATCATACTTTTATGGGGGGCCTCAGAAAGTCTAGGCATATCATATTTAAAAATGAAAAGGAAGCGAGAGCTTGCACCTTGTATTATAAGCATAAATAATTTTGAAAATTAATGGAGCAGGAGTAGAGGCAGAGGAACAACAGAACTATCCATCACTTCAGCAATAGATATTAGCACTCAGAGGCCAGAGCAACCCAGAATCTCCTTTGCCTCAGAACAGAAATAAAAGACAAGCAGTACAGCATGCATCATCTACTCAGTCAGAAACTTTACATAGCTGTATCACAAATGCAAAACAAACCTGATCAACTGGGGCATTGTCATCAATGAATGGAGCAGCAAGGCTTATAAAAGATGCCTCACCAACACCCACCATCCTGATAGATGAAATAAATTATTAACAAATAGAACCACCACCACCCCCAAAAGAAAAAGTAGAAAAAACAGGTAGCATTCGAAAGAACTGGCATAATCTACTAACATTCTGCAGATGGTAATGGACCAGAAATTAATTGACAGGCCGCAACCAGCAGTAGCAAAGGTCCAGACTGTCAGTCCAACTCCAATAAGTCTAAACGGATTAACACTGCCAATCACAATAATACAAGAAATTTGAGAAATTGATTAAATAAAAGGCATACCATAGTGTTAAGGTATACATACAATTCAAATCCTTTCCCTTTATTTTTCCAATCCCACTCTTTGCATTTTAAGTGGCAAAGCATGAATTTGGAGAAAGGATGAGTTTTAGTTAAAGTCTAACAACATAATTGAAATAACAACATCTTTAGAGATGTTAATGAGGTAGGCAAGGATTAGGATGAGCATTATTTGTTTTAGTTAAAACTTGATCTGGTTAACTGGCACGAGTAAAATGATTTGCTCTAATGGGTTCATATATGAGAAAGCTGGAGTCAATAGAGTTGGAATAACAAGAACTCTACCTAAGGCTATTTAATTCAACGGACTTGATGAAAAGTATGGAGGTGTCTATAAAATTTGCATCTGCTTCACACAGTACTTATGGATAGTATATAGCATTTGTAACCTTTTGAAGGTGAGAGTACCCCCAAGAAAATACCTATGATGTACCTTGCTTGAAGCTTGTCAATCCAGCATGATTAAAGTATACAAAGTCCACCTGGTATTTCTTTGCCTAGACTAACTACATTCCCTGTTTCATTGAGTAATAGGCTGGACCTTCCTATGTTTCTTCAAAAGGTACTCGAACTACTTGTAACCCTCATCCAGCTTATGACTACTTAAGTTAGCAACATTTATCACCTTCATATCATGTCTCCTTTACAAATTTATCCACCGTCAAAATACCTATAATTGCAGCAAAAGAAATGAATCATGTAATTTGGTATCAAGCAGGGGAGGCTCTTGCATACAAAATTTGAGGTATATGCCTTAGACCCCCAATTTGAGGGGCCTCAAATTCTTACCAAGAATATTTTTTTGTTAATTTTTTACATAAAATTATATTATTTTGTTCTCCTTAACCCCATTCAAATAGAAGAAATCGATTATTTTTCGCTAACACTCATATTATTTATCTGTTTGAACACTTTTTTTTCAAATTTTTGATAAGGTAGAGTAATAGTCTGTCAAAAGTATGAATCAATAGTGGAAAAGTGTTGAACAAAGTAAATTACAAATCTTTTTTTATTTCTTCCTAAATTTTCAAGCAATATAAAAAACATATTTAAGTAGGATATACCAAGTTATCAACTTCTTGAATCAAATTTTATGACTTCAACTCTTGTTTTTATTTAAAGTTTGTCAACTTATTACCAAGAATTATGTTAACAATTCATATAGTAATGGCCTCAGTAAAAGAGTGTTATCTAATATTGAATTGATAAAATCTTACCTAAAACTAATAAAAATAATAAAAAAAGATATTTGAAGAAATCATCTATACAGAAATTTTAAGCAAAAATTTACATCTAAAAAGTTAGAAAAATATTTTTAAAATAAATTCATATGAAGTTTATTTAGATATTAGGCCTCTAATTGAAATCTAAAAGTCAAAAAAAAAATTAAAATAAATATATATGAAGTTTATTTAGATTTTAGGCCTATAATTGAAATTTTTCTTTAAGCCTCCAATTACTTTGAGCCGCCCCTGGTATCAAGCCATGATGAGGAAATGACAGGTCTGCATGACTATGGTACTTGGAAGATAGCTGTTTTAGTAAATGGCATATAATAATTGGATGTCGTTGGGTGCTTAAAGTCAACATAGTGCTGATGAAAGGTTGATCAACTTAAAATTAAATTGGCGCTCAGGGGATATATTCAGATTTTTGGCATTGATTATGGTGATACCTTTTGTTTGGTGGCCATAATTGCATCTATCCGCCGCCTTATCTCCACTGCAGCTATGTCTCATTGACCTTTAGTTTCATAATGTAAAATAGTTTTATCCATGACAGGACAAAACAATCGCATACAAGCAGCATAACAAAAAGTTCAAAGAAAAAACTACAAAAAGAAATGGTTCTCTATGAACAACGCCTCAATCTTCTGTACATACAGAAGTCTCATGGGTGCACCAAAACTAAAAGGTAAGGAACAATAGATTACAAGAAATCATTTTCTACTCCTTCAAAAGTTCTTGTGTAACTCTCTCTCCATATGACCGACATCTCTTTCTCAATACGACCCACATAAGTGCTAGTGGAGCAAGATCTCTTCAGTCTTCTAAAAATCTAACTGAACAATACTTCTTTCAAAGTGCCTGGGATCACCATTGTACTTCATTAACTCCTTTACGAGTTCGATAGAAAAATTGTTTTCTTTCATCATGAACATACTGAGGAAGTCAACAGCAAATGCTAGTGTTGTTGCTTAGATGAAGTCTAGATTAGTATGTCGACAGTGCCTCTTTATGGTTTGAAGCAATCACAAATGGCATGGTTTGACCATTTAAGCATTGTTCTCCAACATTTTAATATACTTTGGGGTGAAACTGATCACTATGTGTTTGTTGTCATTCTTAACAATGTACTAGACTATAGAAGAAAGGGGCAACAAATTATGAAATTCAATATGGTGACAACATCAATGGAACTTTGCACTTAATAAACTTCGGGTAAGATTTTCCATTTGTGCTTTATTGCTTATTAGAAAAAGTAAAATCAACTGGGTTAAGTGAATTCATAAATACATGGTCGAGAGTGCAGAGGAATCAGGTGCTACTTCAAGTCTTCCCTGCGTACTGATCATCACCCACATCTTAACTGCCTCCATGATTGACATCTCTACCTATAAACCCCTGGAAGTTTCCTCTACATATGATACTCAAGCATTTGCTAGCATGGGATATGTTCTACATGATGATAAGTGGTCAAAGATGGGTTTAGTGAAGGTTAAAGTGGAGCAGCAAAAGGGAAGCAAGATCTCTGCTGATTCAGCCTCAGAATTGCTTACAGAAGTAGGTGAGATAAAAGGCAGGTTTGCAGCTCTGGAGGATGGAATGCAGCAGCTGCAGAGACCGAGGACAAGGACTTCCAAAGACACTAGCACAAATGTTGGGAAGCTGAGAATCTCCATGGATGACATTCAGTGTGAAGGAATCAAGACCGCGAATAAGCTGATTCAACGAGTCAACGCCATAATGCAAGAAGCCGAATCCTCTCGGACAGAGCTTGCCATAGTTGTTCGGACCTACTACTCCAATCTATCCAAGAATGTTGAAAAATCCTACAACTAGTGTTATCAAAGGGGCGCCTAAGCCTTGAAGCGAGGCTCAAAACGCGCTTAGCCTCACTTAATGAGCGTTTCAGTGTCGTCATCAAGGCTCTAGTGTTATCAAAGGCGAAAAATACAAAAAGGCTCTAAGGTCCATGGGGGCTTTAAGCGCAAAGCGCAAATAAAGCGTGGGCTTTAATGAAAAAAGGCTCAAAGGGAGAAAAAAGTACAAATGTATATGTTTAGTCCAAGATAATAATTATAAACATGAATGACAAATATATGACCAAAGCAATTGTTTAGTGTCACTTCTTCATAAGAGGCTCATTGGCAAGGAAAAAATTGTCTTAGAACCTTAAGACAACACCAAAGCACACATAAAGCGAGGCGAAGTGCTCAACACGTGTTGAGCCTAGCTTCAGGGCTTAAGAGCGCTTAAACCGCACCTTTAATAACACTACAAGGCTCTAAGACATATTGTTCCTTCCAAATGAGCATTTACTGAAGAGGCTATGCTAAACCATTGATGTTTCACTTTATCGTAAAAACAATCAATTTATTTGTCCATATGTTGTTATTCATGCTTATTGTAAAGATATGACACTTGGGCCTAACTCATCCCCAAAAGCTAGCTCATGAGGGAGGTTTGTCCAAGTCCATAAAAGGAGACCAAATTCCCATCCCTCTACCGATTTGGGACTTCTTAACACTCCCCCGCAGCCCAGACCTCAACGTAAGCGTGAACACTTCTAATGGGGGCTCATCAACAGTGAACACCAAATTGGGATGGGCCTGGCTCTGATAGAGTGTAAAGATATGATACATGGACCTAACTCAACGCTAAAAGACAGCTCATGAGGGGAGGTTTGTCCAAGTCCATATAATAAGATTGAATCCCTATCCCTCTACCGATGTGGGACTTCTTAACACTTACAACTATTAGTCTTGGACCAAACATGTATATATTTGTAAGCTTTCTCCATTTGCGCATTTTCTCAATTAAATACATATTTTATTTGTACTTTGCACTTAAAGCTCCAACAAACCTTAGAGCTTTTTTTGCACTTTTTGCTTTTGATAACGTTGCCTACCACTCCTTCTCATAGAGAGTTATCAACACTATCAAATATTTCTTAGCCAAGCGTTAATCCTGGTTTTATTTTGGTGGTTTCTTAAGACAATATGACCTTTTGACTATCTCTCCTTGGGGTCGTTTGGCCCATCTTGACAATATCTCTATAACTGCTCATCAAGGAATGTTTGTTCCTACTGTAACTATGATGTGTGTAAATTCTAGTTATTTACCAAGGTCTATTACTTGGTTGTCTATGCTTGCATTTCTATTCTTTGATTGCCTCTTCAATTTCTTTTTGATAATGTCAAAGAAGGAGATGGACCAAGACAGACAATAAGCCATTAGAGTCAGCACACACTACTAGACACACATTAAGGGGGAGACTCCATTACGAGAGGATGCACACTCTAAGGGGGGATTTTTGCTTTCACACTTCAGAGAAGTAAACCGACTCCTGATTGCCATCATCAAGAAAGGGGGGGGATTGTTAGCCCTTAACTTGCCTAATAAGTTTTAATGATGACACTAACTGAATGCTTATTATGCAGGAAAAATGAAAAGGAAGACAACACTAAAACACCAAGAAAAGCAGCAATACAAATATGGAAGAAAAGGTCACCTTGACAGAAATACGCTCCAGGAAAGAGGACAAACAAGGGAAATCAATATTCCAGTAATTGGAGGAAATATACAAGAATGACCGAAGCACACACAAGTCAAGAACCTCGCCCAAAATCAGGGAAGAGCTTTACATGGAAAGAAGTCAAAAGACACGTAGGACAGGAATACGTACAATGAAAGAGGACAAACAAGGCAAATCAATCTTTCTGTGATTGAGAAAATACAAGGAAGACCGGAGCACACACAAGGAAAGAAGACAGATAGGAGAACTCAATCAAGGCAAATTACTATACCCTTGATTGAAGGAAACTCCCTTGGGTTAGCTTAAGAGTCGATCGCTGAATGTCAAAGGGATTGATTTAGCAAATCAATCCCAGCAAAAATCAACATTAAAGTAATGATTCTCGAAGAGAAAGAATTGATTCTTAGTCATATCATCTTAAGAGCAACAGTAAACAGCCAAGCAAGTATAAAAGAGGATCAAGATCGAAGAAGAAAGATGTGCAACTTCACTTGAGCAAGAACACTATTCACTCTTTCATCTTACAAAAAGCACTATGATCATCATAGTCTACTAGTAAAAAGAAAAGAAAAAGAGATTAGAAAGCTATAAAAGTACAAGTTGTGACCAAAAACGAGATCTGGAATCATCGAGATGTAAGAAACTCTCCAATGTTCACCAAAATACAATCTATTAAATAAAGTTCATTCAAAAGATCTAAATGAAACCCTTGAACCCACAGGCACCATATTGGTGATCGAAACCAATATAAAATCATTTACTCACCATATCGGTGGTCCAATAAAGTCAATTACTCTTTTTGTTTCCTTACTCCATGTTATATCTGGTTTATCGGTCTAACTTGTAGGTGAGTCAACTTGCATATATTAATAGGATACATTATAACCTTAGAAAATATTTGAGTACACCCCACCCCCGGAGTTTCAATATTAAATGAGAAATTAGTTATAATAATGCAACCTTGGGATATAGGTATCACTTTCATTTCAATTTGAATTAGTTTGATCTTTAGATGATTTATGAAACGCCATTGACCTACGTTAAATTATTTGATGGACTTTGAGATATTGATTATTTCATTCAAGTAAGTAAAATTGTAAATAAGGGATGCTCTTTTTTTAACCTTTTTTTGATATGTTAAACCCACCACCCAGCCTCCCTACATATGAGTCAAGAATGGCCATTTTCCACTATGCTCTCTTGATCAGTTGAACCTCAAGTCCTCAACCTCTAAGGTTAGATGTGGATTTTCACTAGGCTATCCCACTATAACAAAGGATACCTTTTTATTTTTTGGATGCTAGGAAGAGTAAAAGTGGGATAATAAGTGGTGACTTAATCATTTCAGAAAGTGGACACTGATCTAGCATGGGTTGCATGGCCTAGTATGGACAGCACGGTATTTGACAATAAAAGAGTATTAACATCTTATATTAATTCGGAATTTCAAGAGATCTTATCAAGAAAAATGAGACAAAATTACAAAAGAAAAAGTAGTGAAAGAGAATGAAAACAATGGGAATAAAGTAATTCATTATATTTCCTGTCTAGACAAAATGATCTCCATAGTAGTAAATACAATGCTTATTTCTGTATGGTGTCTGTCACAAATACTTTTTACAGTTAAATCATTTTAGTATGATATATGCTTCCATATATCTCAACATCAAGACTGTGATATGTTAAAAATTATCACCTCTTGGCTAAGGAAGCAAATATTGGAGATGCCAAAAGAAGCCCAACCATGAAAGCAGATGATATGACACCATCCTGAAAATTGTTCAAATCAAAATCACCCCTGCAAAAAACACGCAGAAAAAGATTAACTTGGAGCATAATTGTAATCGATGCATTCGCCGGGAAACAATATTACAGACACGAGAATGACTAATATTTTTGAATTATAGTTTTAGTTGTTTCAGTCGAACAGAACATCCCTGAGTGAGTTTGCATGTGGACAATTCCCTGAATGAATTGCAAATTCAGCAATCATAGGCAAGTCAAGGAACAAGAACAAGGGCTTAGACCTGACTTTTCTGTTGATCGTCCAGTGACTCGATCCAAAACTAGGGACCTTAACGGTGATATGAAACCATGAGATGAAATCAGCATGAGATCACATGTCCAAACAGTGATTTCATCTCAGGATTTCATATCGTGATTTCTTATCTCATGTCCAAGTGCTACTTAGTGGCTATTCCAACCATTAAATTTCACAGGGAAGAGTCATTACTAGGGTAGGTATAAGTACATCATAGAGAAAAAGCATAATTGGACTCTTGCATATAATAACTGTCAATCATCAACAAGGAAAAAATAGAAAGAAAAATATTATACATTGTGCAGGAAGGAAAACTTAGAGTGAAACACACTCGCTATATCTTTCCCTTATAATCAATCACTTGAGAACAAAGCAGACTTGTACTGAAACATTAAGATTAAGTAATCAATAAAATTCTTACTGGATTCCACTGCCAGAAGAGCATGTACCGCTCTTAGTACACTCACTGTGCTTCCCATTAACACCGTTGCTCGCTATAGCACCGCGATCCACATAATTTAGCAAGTTGATTATACAGAATATGGCTAGTAACCTAACAATTTGCAGCAGACAGATCATAAGCAAATATAAGATAGCAAAAATAAGAGTTATAAAACGGATTCTAATAAACTCCAGAGTCTAAGAGCCTGGTGTTTTAAGTAAAAAAACACCAGTAAGAATTTTATTAGGATAAAGTAATGTAAACTACCAATGAATTGCCATATTTTCTAGGTCACTAATTTACACTTACTATAGAAATTTGTTCGCAAGTAACCTAACAGCTAAATGTATCTTACACTGTAAGTGGAAAATATTAAACCTTTACAAAAATCAATCTAGTTGTTATTCTATTTAGTTTATAGGAGTAACATGATCACTGAAGATTCATAAAGCCGGCCCCAAGTTCTCAAACAAGTTCTCTGCTAGGTTCCCAGGGTTTAAATAAGAAGAAGACTTCTACATATCTTCAAAACCTGTTAATCAGAATCAAGAAAAAGCACTTGCTTGATAATCGAAACAACAAACTAACCCCATGAATTTTGGTCTGTCCCTTTATGTGTTTGGACAGTAAACCAAAAGACCCCAAAAAGGAAAAATTGCAATACATAGGCAACCCACATGGCAAAGAGAGAAAAATACCTTTTGGCAGTGAACCAGGAAGGTTGTGGAGCTAATGTTGATGAAACCATGTCTGTTTTTGCAGGAAGTGATGAGTTTGGCTTCGAGTCAAATTTAGTGGTTGGATCATACAAATACTTTTGGAATTGGCTCTTGCGAGGAAAAAGGCATTATCTTTGAATTAAGCTCAAAATGATCCTCATTCTTATACGAGAAGCACTAATAGTCCATTATTTTTATAAAATGGTACGTTTACAGTCCAACCACAAACATCCCTTTTTCTTTTTCTTAAGAAAAAATTATGATTGATACATTTTAATAAATAATTATTGATTTTAACAATATTATTTACTATTATTATTTATAACAATACAATGTTAAATCTGTAATATGAATTAAAGTGAATTATGTATGCAATATATATGAATTATAATTGTTTTTTAAAATATATTATGTAAAAGTTTGACAAATTTTATTATAATTGTATTAAAATGTGTGACAAATGTATCATTAAAATTTATATTATATGTGAATAAGAAATTATTTTTTGTAATATTATTAAACTTGTGTTATAAATGAATTAAAAGTGATTAAGTAAAAAAAAATATTATTGCTATAAATGATAAATCTTTTTTTATTATAGTGTATTTATAATAAACTATAATATTATTCTCTCACATTATTTCCTTCTTTTAACGGAGGAAACTCAACTCACAGTATTCTCTCTTTTGAAGCAAATAAAATAGGTATCTCTTGCTACAAAAAATAAAATAAAATAATAATCTCTTATTTTAGAGCAAAAAAAAGTCAATTAGTCACATTATATGCTTTCTTTTGTTATAAATAAGCACATGGATCAAATTCTTTATTTTGTTTATTTTTTTTTACTTTACTCTTTTATAGAAATGATAGTTAAAAGGACTAACATTGTATTAAATTAGTTGTATAAAGTGCAAAGAATTGTGTACATTAACTTTAGAATAAAATGGGAGTATTAAATGTTAACAGAAATATTATCAGTCTAAACACGTGTAGGACAGATATCCTATATTTAAGACATGTGTACTACTTTTTATTACTCATGCATATGTAGTTTAGACACAATAGCTTAATTGTCTCAATTTATATTTTGAATGGTTAACTATTATGATTTATAATACTACATTTTATGTGAAATTCAAAAATTATATATAATTTTCTATTCCAATTTATGTGAGTAAGCGTAAAATTTTGAGAGCTAATCAAAATTGTGAGCAACTGTGAAATTTGAGAGTCAACCAAAATATTATATTTTAAAAAAAATATCTTGTGTTGTTAATTATTGTGATTTATATGTTAATTTTTCGTAATTTTTAAATATACAAAATACTTAAAAGAAAAGTAAAAAATTAAAGTTGCTAAATATAATAGAGGAAATTGAAGCATAAGGACAAATCGGAGAATTCTCTAATCGATCCTAAGCGCCCACTGTATGTTACTTGGGACTTTTAAAAAAGGTGGCAGTAAGGTTTCAAAATAAATGGACGGTGACATAAGTTTAAGTATTGGGTATAGATGACAATTATGTGATTAATGATTAAGGATTGTTGGGTTGCCCTCAAGTTTATAAGTTGATGTTTGGTCCATTGAATTAAATGAAGGGTAAAATGACTAAAACCTAATTTAACCAATTTTGGTGGCAATTATAATTAAAGGGAAGCCACCAGCAAGCTGTACCAAAAGCGAAAATAAAATATTTTTCCTCCACCTCTCGTTGTATTCTTCTTCTCCCTCTTCTTCTTCTTCTTTTTCTTCTTCTTCTTCTTTACTTGCCTTTCTGTCCATTCTCTTTATCTTTTTCATCTTCTTTTCGTACATTATTTGTCTTGACTCTTAGTCCTTGAGCTTTCTTCTTTTCCTCTTCTTGAATCAGATTTAACTAATTTAATTAGTGGATTAGATTTCGTTTTGCATCAATTGGAATTACTTCATAAATGATTGAGGTATCACGCCATTGTTTTGATATGTAAAATTAATAATTCTTTGAAATCATTCATCATCATCTGGGTACTTGCAATTTTTTTAATAATTTGCATTTGTGTTTCTAACAGATTGATATATGTTGCAACAATTGACTATTTGAACAAAGTATAGTCATATGTAAGTAACAAAAAGGTTATTTTAATAGCAACAGAATATGCATATGTTGCAACATATAACTTACACAAATTGCAACATATAAGTTAGTCATGTAGCAACATATGACTTACATGTCGCAAATGATATGATAGTTATATAACACCCTTGTAAATCATTGTTTCAAGTGTTATAGCATATTCTTATTGCTTAATTATGGTTCAAAGTACTAAAATTTTGTCCAATTTGATATTTTTTTAATTTCTAAATCTCTCAATTTATTGATTAAGTCATCCTTGAAGTGACATATGTGATAACATATGCACGCTCTGTTGGAAAAATTGCAACAGAAATGTCATGTGTGACAACATATATATATCATAAAATGATCTTTTAAGGGTTAATTCAATTAAAATTTTCACCTAATTCAACATGTAGCACTAACATATAGTCCTACAACATGTCTAAGTACAACATTATGGTCTAATACGAGAACCTTCATCAATTCTATCAATTATTTTTACAAATACTATCATACCACTTGTTCATCATACAATGACCAAGTAACTACATATGATAGTTATATAACACCCTTGTAAATCACTGTTTCAAGTTTTATAACATATTTTATTACATAATTATGGTCCAAAGTACTAAAATTTGGTCCAATTCAATATCTTTTCATTCTAAATTGCTCAATTTATCGATTAACCCATTCTTACAATGATATATGCGGCAACATATGCACAACCTGTTGGAAAAATTGCAACAGACATGTCATATTTGGCAACATATGCACGTACTGTTGAAAAAATTACAATAGACATGTCACATGTGGAAAGATATGTATATTACAAAATGGTCTCTTTGGGGTTAATTAAGTTAAATTGTCACATAATTCAACATGTAACACTAATATATAGTCCTAAAAGAGTTGGGAATCAAAATAAGCCACAAAAATATAAAAGTAACTAAAATAAGCCGCTATTTTAGTAACTAAAATAAGCTTAGTGGAAGAAAAAGTTCCACTATATCCAATTTTCTAAACGTTTTCCGTTATTGTCATAACGTTTATTTTTAATATATAACGGAACTTTTTCTTCCACTTTATAAAGTGGAACTTTTTATTCCACTTTATAAAAAGTTATCTTTTCATCTTCACCTTCACCTTCTCTCCTTTTTATTTTCATGGCTTCCAAAAAAAATTCACTTTGAAGATGGTCATCTGCATAAAAAATTCACTTAAAAAAATAAGTGTTAGACATAGCGATAATCATCTGCATCAAAAGTAGGCGAGACATGAAAATTTGAGGATGTCCCAACATTTTCCGTCATTTCAAAGTGTAAGGACTAATCAAAATAATTATTTAGTCCATAACTTGGAGCAATATCCCTATTTTGCTGAGGTAAACCGCTACAAAATATATAATAATAAGAATAATAAATGATATAAATTAATAAATAATTGACTAAATCAACAAACAATAATTGAAATATAATAATTGAGCATTACTGATCACTGTCATTGATAGTTTTGTTTAAATCAAAATCATATCGGCCGGTAAGAGTATTTTGATAATGAGTCATTTTAGGAAAATCAGTAGATTGAGTTATCGGAAATCCATCAATGCTATTATGATTTTCTAATTAGGGATGAACATCGACTGATAAAGGAGAACGTTGTTGACTAATCTTAGGCTCCTTCCTAACATAGATTCCAAGTATTGTTGACTTGATTTGATCTATATAGTGATTTGGAACCCTTAAAAAATCGGTCAACGATTCGTCATTATATATAATTCACTCTCCAAAATTTACTTGTCCTTGTGATAAAAATTAAGTAGGGTATTTTCCGGCTATAATCAAATTATAATCATACTGTTTATACCCATTCATTTATAAATTGATGAAATAAATTTATGATATCGGACATTTATTGGATATTCAACATTGTGTTTGTGAGGACAATTGTTGACACCCAATTTTGACCAACCTTTGACCTTTTTTAGGAATACTATTCAATTAAATACGTATTTTAAATTTTAGAATTTTTAGCCGACTTTGCTTGAAAATTATATATTTTAGTATGTTTTACTTTATAAAATTTTCGTAAATATTATTAAAATATTTAATGATTATATAAAAATATTTTAATATATGTAGTATTTTAATTAAATAGTAATTTCTACACTTTTCTAAAATTTTAAATTCTAACCTATTCTATCATAATTTCTTTCAATTCTAGCCACTTGAATTAGAGTTTATTTCAATCATAACCCCTCTTTCATTTCAATTCTAGCCAGTTTAATTGCAATTTTAGCCATTTCAATCCTCCAACCAATTTGATTTTAATTTTTCATCTTTTAATCTAACCGTCCATCTTTAAAATAAATTCAAAATCGAATCCTAGCCCTTTATCTCTTATCAAATTCTACGGTCAAGATTTAACCTCCTATTCTTCCTAAATTCTAATACCCTAAAAGACAAAAAAAAACTCACTCTCTCTTCCTCCCCTCCCTCTCTCCAGCCGCCTCTCTCTCTCTCTCCCCATTCTTTCCGGTGATCTTCCCTTCTCCGTAGCCGTCGCTCCTCGTCCTCTCTCTCTCCCTGCCCGAACCCCCTCTTTCTCTCCTCTTCTCCCTCTAGTCTTGCTCTTCCCTCTTCACGACGAGGAAGCTGCTGTGGCCAGCAGCAGAGGAGAGCAGCAGCAGCCAGAGACAGCAGCTGCTGGCAGCCGCCGCCCCTCTCCCCTCTTCCTCTCTCCATTTTCCAGCAGCCGGCCCCTCTCCTCTCTTCCTCTCTTCCCCCCGTTTCTCCCCCTTTTCTCCTTCCCCTGTTCTCTTCTTCTTCTTTTGCAGGGAGAAGCAGCAACAAAGCAGCGAACTCCGACAAGAGCTTTTGGAAAATCAAGTTTTGTGAAAAGATGGATCTTTAAAAGATCCATCCGGGTACATTTCTTTTAATTTTATTATCTCATCTTTTGATAATATTTGTTCTTCTTTCATTTATAATTTGGCTGGGATTTTAGAATATAAATGTTGTTATGCATATCATGA